ATTTGAGATATGTTTCCAGGCAAACAACACCCCCCCTGCAGCAACATTCCATTCGTCTCCCAGAAAAACACAAATACTCTACCATGGAACTTTCCTGCCATTTGGGCGTGAAAAATATTAGTGTCCAGGCGAGGTAAAACGCGAGTGGACATCTCTACAGAACAAAACAGAGCAAATCCGAACCTCCACATGTGCGGTTACCCACTAGACCACCGGTCGCCCCGGTGGTCTAGTGGGTAACCTCGCAGCCTGCTAAGGGCCAGGTCATGGGTTCGAGTCCCGGCAGAGTGAATTTTTTCTCACTAAATAAATCCTGGTCTAGGATGAAAGCGACGCGCTGCACAGCTCGTTGCTAGTAAACCATAATCGACATCGTAAGTCGCGAGGCAAGGGATTGCTGTACCCTTCTCGCGATGAAAATACCTAAGGCAGGAACCGCAGGAGGGGGTCCAGCCCCCCCCTTCCTCTGTGACCCCGGGTGGGTCGTCCAACAAGTAGAAGTGGAGGATAGGGGCCAGAGGGGCAGACGACAGAGTCCAATGATGGGAGAAAAAAAAAAATGTGCCAACGAGAGGGAAAATGATTTGCAGAGATTCAATCAACGGTGAAAAAAGCAGCAGCTTTATTGGGATCTGATGAAGACCGAACACAAGAACAACTCCTGCACAAAAACAAACACAGAAAAATGACAAGAATACGCAAGCAAACATATCGTGCCTGGGCGAGTTTAAGACCCCAGCAGACGTGGCGCTGCTTGGTGTCATTGTTGAACTTTCCCGATCTTCCGAACTCCCTTTTCCGCGCCTTGGTCCTCCTGCCGCTGCTCCGGTCGCGAAGACACGCGCCCCGACCGTTGCCCCCGCGACATCTTTCCACGGTCGAACGGGGTGTCCACACCCAGCACCGACCCCACTCTCCCAGCCTTCAGCGCGCGCAGCTTCCCCGGGTCGAAGGGGCGCAGCTGTGCCCGAAACCAGGCCACACACATCCCCTCTGCCTCGTCGTTGCTACTGCTGCCGCTGCTGCTGCTGCTGCTGCTGTTGCTGGAGCCATCGACCAGGTCGTCCACCCTGTGATCGTTGGCGCCGTGCACCCCCGAACACACGGTTCCTAGATCCAAACGGCGCGTGGACCCCCCCCTTTCCCCACAGACGCTGTAATCCCAACAGTTACCAACCTCACCCGCGAACCAATCGCCATTTCTCGCTGCCGTCGTTGATCTCGGCCGCCCCGCCACCCGATATGGTGGGGGAAACGTCACCGACGGTCTCCATCGTAGCGGCCGGTGCCGGCACCGGGGTCGCGGGTGGTGCCGTCACCGATGTCGCCACTCTAGCCACCCATGCCGCCGCTGTAGCCACCTGCGCAGGCTCTCAAGCCATTCTCCCCGCCGCCCCAGCGGGAGAAACAATACCGCCAGGTGCAGCCGCCGTCACCGCTGGAACCGCTGCCGATGCCGCTGCTCCTGCTGCCGCTGCGAGCCCTCCGGGCGTTTCCCCCGTCATCGCTGCGAGGGAAACATTACCGCCGCCGGGGGGCGGTGCCGTCGCCGCTGGAGCTGCCGCCGATGCTGCCGCTCCAGCCGCCAACGCGGGGGCTTCGGCCATTGTCCCCGCTGCAGGGGCGGGGAGAACACAACTGCAGACACCGCTATCAGCGTGAACCATGTAGACACCATCATTCCATCCAAACCATCCGTCATCATCATCGTCCACAGCGCCACCAGCATTAACCAGGCCGACAAAATCAGAGCGGTGCTCGCTCTCCGCCACCACCTGCTGCTGCACGACCGGGCCTTCGACGCCGCCACCACCAATGCCGATGCATCTGCCACCATTGACGCCCATCCATCAGCGACCGCGGACGATACCGCCCTCACCCTCGCCGCAAAAGTGAACCTGGTCGACAAAATCAGAGCGGTGCTCGTTCTCTACCACCACCTGCTGCTGTACGACCGGGCTTCCGCCGCCGCCACCACCGATGTCGATGCAGCTGCCGCTGCCGTCGCCGCCCATCCAGCAGCCACTGCGGACGATACGGCCGTCATCCTGGCCGCTGCTTCCATGAAGATAGACGGCGCAGTTCCGCCACATTTGGCCGCACTGACCGCAGGCGTCGTACGTACCCTCGGATGTGCGGGGTGCGGCGCATGCTCCGCCGGGGTGCGGCGCATTCTCCGGCGTGATGGCCGTTCCTGCCGCACCGAATGCAACGGTGTACCGTACGGGGCGGAGGGGGGTGATTCCCTCTGGAAATACACGGCGTTGCTCTCGCAGACATCTATGCCACCCACTCCGCTTGGCGGTAGCTGCTGTTGCTGCCGCCCCGATTGCTGGTGCTTCCGCTCCTGTTGACTCTGAGCGAAAACGCACAGATGGTTCTGCTGACAAACAAAATCACCACGAGAACTGCTGCAACTGCTATGGCTGCTGCTGCGATTGAGCTCTCCATCTCTGCTGCTGCTGTTGTTGTTGTTGTTGCTTAAGTCTCTCCTTCTCATACTCGGCAGCCTCCGCCGATCTAGAGCGCGCGTTGAGCAGCCTTTCCACCTCCGACTTGGCAGCCCGTAGCTTCTCTGCTGCGCTGCGCGACCTCGCCTCCACCTTCATGCGCACAACTGTTAGGGGTGTCAAAGCGGAAAATTTCCTACAGGAAAAAAATTGTAGAAGCGTCCTTGGATCTTGCTGATGGAAAATCGACCAACAAATGAAATTGCACGGAACCGTTGGAATCTCCCGAAACAACCCTCTGACGCACACGCACGAGGGCGCAGCTCGTGTGTGTGCTTTGATTATTCAACGGGTTCTCTCTTCCGTCTGGCTCTGTCCCGCCATCGCCGACTCCTTCTCTCGCCGGCTTGTTTCTCCTGCTCGGCCTGCTGTTTCTCCTGCTTGGGCTGCTGTCTCCGTGCCCGCTCCGACTTGAGCTCGCGCGCAAACTCCAGAGCCATGCTGCAACCAACTTTGCTCTCTTCCTCACTTTTCCTACTTTTGGCCAGCTCCTCTTTCGTTCTTTCCAGCGCTTTCTGCCGCGGCGGTGATGCTGCCGCGCTCGATAGCGCGCCGGGTGTTGTCTGCTGCTGACGCCTCAGCCACAGACATCCCCTCCTCTCTTCAAACTTCGCTTTGCTTTTCTTTAGATTCAGCGCAGCGCGCCTTCTGCCACCGAACGTCGTGGACCTCCGTTTTCTCGGGGGGGGAGGGTCCGCGGTGGGCGTCGCAGACCCGCTTGAAGGGCCGTTTTTGGACATGCAGATCTTGGGGTTGGCTGACCCGATTCGGGCGCGGTTTGCTGTGCTGTATAGGTGAAAACCCAAGGTAGAGAACTGCAAGGTCGCTTTCACGAGAGGAGCAAAGGTCGCCTTAGGCGTGGAGCAAAGAGCCCAAAAAAACATGTTTTTTGGTGGAGTTCGTTCGCCCATTAACGTTAAGAGAAAACCGACCTTGCAGTCACCTCTATTGGACCTGTGTCCAGGTGTGTGTAACGCATGAAGAGCCGTGCTGCTGTCTGGACGTGTGAACCCAAGGTGGAGGACTGAAAGGTCGCTTTCACGAGAGGAGCAAAGGTCGCCTTGGGCGTGGAGCAAAGAGCCCAAAAACACATGTTTTTTGGTGTTGTTCGTCCGCCCTTTAACTTGAAGAGAAAACCGACCTTGCAGTCACCTCTATTGGACCTGTGTCCAGGTGTGTGTGACGAGTGAAGAGCCGTGCTGCTGTCTGGACGCAGAGCTGCCTGCACAAACAAATTGACTTGATGTATAGTTCATTCAGTATTAACAGCGGGATTCTCAAGAACCTAAAAAAAAAACAAATCCGCGTGCCCCCCTCAAATTTTGACGAATTGACCAGACGTTTTTTTGGCCCCAAATTCCGCCGCTTTGACACCCCTAACTGTAGTCTGCTCCGTGCGAAATCTCCTCATATTCCGTCCCATCTCTCCGCTATGATGTACACTTGATAAATATCCCGTGTCCTGCTGTCCCAGCCCCGAAGCGCTGTCCCAGCATTATACCCTCTGCTGTCCCGGTCCCCGATGGCCACCGTCCCAGCTATACTCTACCCGCTGCCGTCCTGTCCCGTCCCCGTTGGCCACGTTCCAGCTTGGCTAGTCTATATATATCGTTCTCGCCCCCCCATTGGCCCGGCACATACAGCTAAGACGCCAATACCCTCTACCAACACCAAGCCATACACTATATTGTGTTTGGGTGCGGTAGCTCGTCAGAGGCCGAAAGAAAAAGCAGGGTACTCAAGACCTTGTTGCTTAGAGTGATAGGCATGGAGCAGGCCACACCATCGCCAAGCAGTCTATCAACACGTGTCATCCGCGTACCCCCCCGGAGGTCCTGTAGACAGTATACTCTGCCGAGCACCCCAAACAGACATCAACAACTAGAGCCAGAACCGACCCCGACTCGACAGGTTTCAGCGAGGAGACGCAGGAGAGCATAGAAAAAGCACCTACGCCGCTCAAAACCCCCGGAAGCTTTCATATCGGCACTGTAGCGAACATTATGGCCATTCCCATTCCCTGGCAGGGCCCATCGTGTCGCATGCAGCAGCCGGGTGCACGGGTAATAGCCTCGTTCACTCAGACAGCAACAAACAAAACCACGGAATATATGGACGGGCTTTCTTTCTTTGTGGTTTTGTTGTAGTGACACAAAAACAATGAACATGACTAAAGAAGACGGTCGTAAGCACCACCGACGAACTACCTCAATACGCCTGCCGTCCGTGTTACATGTGCACCCTACCAGAAGAGCGTCGACCGTTCTCTTAGCTATACTACGGGTGTACGCAAGTACAGAGATTGTGCTTCCATCAACCTTATCGCTCAAGTTCCCAATCACGTACGCAGCCAACATGCAATGTGTTAAGGAGTGTGGCTGCTAGCATGAATAGGGTACATCTTATTGTTGATACGATGCGGGTCGGTCAGGAGGTATACCCTTCTGACCCCTACCCCCTTAGAATTGTCTACTCTGTGTACCCCCTGAGATGATGTTGGATCCCCACTTCACCTCAGAATTTGCTGATCGTCTCTCAGCAATAACAAGCAGCTTTCCCATCTCAACGTGGTCGTGGACAAGCGTGTCAACGACAGAACCTTCATCTATCTCTAGGAGGAGCAAGCTACCGCGCACGGCTTCACTCCTTGAAACTTGGCGTCAGTTGGCATTACACGGTAAGCGGGTGCTGGACGCGGGTTCCACCCTGCTGTTTGTTGTTGTCACGCTTTTGTTCGTCACAACTACCGGGTTGCTTGTTATTTGGTCTCACCACCGACGAGAATCTAGACTTAGCCTCTTCTCTGCTTCCTCTCCTGTAGAGAGCTGGCTTGTGATGCTTTTGCGAAGCGCCCGCGGGACTGGGATATGCGCCTCGGAGGCCATCGCGATGTTTTGGGTGATTTTCGTACGTTCGCCGTCCCTCGAAAGCTACTTTGTCTGCATCATCGGCGGTCCATGAAGTAATTTCTGTGGCGGATACCCTCTGCATGGAGCGTCCTGAGTTGCTGGCTTTGTGTAGTGGGACCCGAGATGACAGCATGCTTCCAACGTCTGCTACCACCTCTACTGCATTCACGCCGGCGTACCGGCCGATGTCCGCGGATTTTCCTGTTGTGCTCTCCGATTTGACTCCGCTTACATCGACTCAGAACGCGTTGTGTGCACACAAATTGGGTGTCAGCCGCCCCACCAGCCTTCCCTCCATTTTTCGAAATCACATGGCATCTTTTTTGGGGGAATCGTTCACCCTCAAAGCATTTGAATTGGAAACCTTTCAACAGCGCAAACCCACAGCGGTCTTTGCTCGCACATCGGCACCAGATACGGAGGAACGCCGTGCTGCTCTTCGTGTCTTTTGGTCGGAAAACCTCGTGCCTCCATGTAACACGGGCCCTTTTGTGCTAGCTTCTACTGCTGTTTGTGCGTGGCATGGCGTGCTTTGGACGCTTCTTCTGCCTGGTTGGATCCACTTCAACCTCGTGTGCACCAAGCTTTTATCACTGGGCGTATGCTATCCTGTGGATATCTCCGTCTTTAGCATGGGCCTCGGCTTGCTTTTCCCGAAGTTGCACCCGACTTTGCTGCTTCTGCTGCTCTTGATGTTGCTGCCTCAACTGCGGTTGATTATCCTACATCTATCTGCTGTTTCTGGCCCTGCTGCCCTCTCTCTGGCCCCGTTCTTGTTAACATAGAGGACACCATGTCCAGCGGCAATGTGAACTCCTGGGCGACAATGTGGAAATCCTGGATTACGAACCCGAGGGCGAGGCTCCCACCGCAGAGCAGTTTCCAGCGGCGGGTGCGGGAGACGAGAGCCCCCCCATGCCCATTGTGTTCACCGTCGATAATTTGCTAGATAACATCGCCACAGCAGATCCGGCGGAACTGGAGCGGACCTATAACACCGGACGTGTTTCTCTGGAGGATATTGTAGAAGCGGCCCATCTGTCGTCCGATTCTCCCCTTCTCGTTCCTCCTTTCTCGCTCCCGCCGGAAGAAAAATTAATCCTCTTGCCCCACGACGAGTTTCTGGCGTACCAAAGGTTGAACGAGATGTGATGCGACGGTCTTGCCGGGAAGATAGCAGAGGCGAAGGCGCGAGAGCAGGCGAAGCGCGAGGAAGCAGGAGGAGGAGCGTGAGGCTGTTCGGGCTGCTGCGGCGAGGAAGCAGGAGGAGGAGCGTGCGGCTGTTCTGGCGGAGCGTGAGGCGTATCTCCAAGCTGCTAGGGCGAAGCAGGGGGCGCTCCGATCGCGGCTGGAGGAGGTGGACCCCCGCCACCAGGGCCCGCGAGCAGCCCCCCACCCGCGTCACCGTGCTATCTTCCCCCCCCCACGAAATCCCAGGTGCCCCTTGGTTCCCATCGTACCGCCTCGCCGCACGAGAAGGAGCGGGAGATGACGGCTTCTCTGACGAGCGAGAAGGAGCTGGAGGGGACAGCGACTCCGGAGCTTTCGGTCGGGTCTTCCGGCCGGTGCTGAAGACGGAGCATCGTTTGCGGCCGCAACCATGGTGTACGAGTTCCACGTTGGAGATACAGCGTTCCTGTCCCGCCCGCTGGAGATGCCCTGCAGAAGATGTAACGTTCCACGATGAGGACAAATTGGCAGCTCTGCTTGAATGGGCTGGCATCAAACAACTCGTCCGTTCACAATTTCCTCAACCGCACACCGTTGCTTCGGGCACATTTACCATACCCCATACATCGCGAAACTTCCGCCTTCTTCGCGGCAGTCCTTGTTCCAGCTTTTGTTCGCTCTCCGTCGTGCCACTGTTAATAGATGTCCTCAAGGAACGTCGGAGGTGACACAAGATGGAGGACTTCAGCTGTCTCTTGCACGTGCTGCCTCGAACAACGACTTCAAGCACGATCTGCAAGCCCCCCGGCAGGCCTCTTCACGCCCTGCACGTGGTTCTGGAGGGGACAAGGACTACAGTTGGTCGGCGGCTCCTGTGTCCAAGAGCTGGAAGAACCGTTGGGGTGACCGAGATTCGACGGCCAAGAGCGGGACGGACGACCACCGCCGCCCCACCCAGTCTTCGCGAGGGCGCGGCGTCGGAGATATCAGGCGAGGGCGAGACGTGGGGAACCAGCCTATCAGGTCTTCGCCGGCGAGTCGCCATCGCCGGAGCAGGAGGCGGAGCGCCGAACGTCAACAGCGCACCAATCATTCGTCGAGGCGTGGGCGCAGCCGGAGCGAAGACCGTCGTGGGAGAAACACGCCTTCGTCTAGGCGTAGCCGCAGCCGGAGCCACAACAGGAGCGGGAGCAACAGCAGGGCGACCAGCACTGACAGCAGTCGCGGCGGAAAAGGGGGACGGAGGTCAGGCCACGGTAACATGCAAGTGATGTATGATCGGGGTGGTTTTCGTAGCTCTGGGTTGTTGGGGGAAAACAAGGATGCTTCAGAAGACGGTTCTCTCTGTTCTTCACCGCTTGTTTTACGCCCTCCCGCTGATGTAGGCCAACCGATCAGGTCTTCTTTGGCTTTCAAACTTGCCAACATGCAACTTCGTGAACATGAGCCGCTGTGAAAAGCCATGCCCCTGCTCGTGCCGTTGTGGACCATCCCGTATCTTCCTTGCCTTTGGACGAACGTGTTGAGTCACCACGCCATGCTGCATCACACGCCTCGACTCCGGCTTCCCGTACTGAAATGCTGTTGGATTAAGTACTCACTCTCCTGCGAGCAAATCAAGTAGTGGATGCTGCTGCCGACGCGAATGTTCAACCTCCTGTGCCCTCCCACCCTCCTAGCGTGCCACCACCTGCCCCATCTTCTTCCCCACCAACGCATCTGACACCGCTGCAAAGACCACGCTTCGAGCTTTTCCGGAGCTCCTGTAGGGCGCGACGTTCGTGCCGAAACCGCTGCCAGGGCCACGTCAGGATCATCGTCATCAGCCACGAGGTCGGCGACAGTACCGGTCGGGCCTGCGGTGGCACCGTCAGCGTTCACAGCCCCAGCCCTGTTGCAACAGTCTTTGGTGGTATCGCCCCCCCCCCTCCAGCGTGCGTCTGTTCTGATTGATCCAAACTCTGCAACCGGCCACATCGTCGAGCCACCGAGTCAAGCGGCATCATCGTTGCCACAGGACGATGCTGGTTTGCCCTTGTCTTCCACAGGAGCGAGAGCGAGGCGGGAAACTCTGGACGCTGCCGACGCCGCTGCAACGGAGGCCGACACCATCCGCATTCAAGACAAGATGGACAAGCTGAAGCCGGAACAACTTGATAGTGTCACACACTTGCCCCTCGGTCTTGATCCTGATGAATTTGCTCGCTTCGCGTCTACCTGCAAGGGTGTGGTCACAGAGATCCTCAACAAAAGCGACGTCAAGCGCACGCAGACTTTCAATTCCTCCACCTGGGTCACCGGATGGCTTGCGTTGTTGCGCAAACGTGTCCGTGTTGCTGTCGTTGAAGGCCAAACCACCAACCGTGCCACGCTGGAATTCTTGATGCCACCTTCCTACAGGTAGAAAACCATCTGAGCAAGGAACCGGCAGGGCCCTCGAAGTACGCGTTCTTCATCCAGAATTTGCGGCTGCCTGGGACACTCAAGACAAGAGCTCGGGGATTGATCGTCTTCGCAGTTTTGGCGTATCCAACGGCGAGACTTACGGAGAATACATTCGTCGCTATAAGGCTCTGGCCATGACCGTCATGGTTTTTCACCACGCGTTCAAGCCTTCGGCTGTGCAGGTGCAGATAGCTGTTCGAGACTCCATGTTGAAGCAGTTTCCGGTAGTGTCTGGGCAGGTGTACAAGGATGAGCAGCTCTCCATGGAAGCCCCTTTTGGGCGACATGCTTCGTGTCTGGATGATATGCGGGATGTGTTGGACAAGTGTGCGTTCGCGCACATGCCGGCGGTGCATGGAGATGATTTCTTTTCGGTGTCTTCCACGAATGCCAAGAGTTTGTCTGCCGTTTCGCGTGCTGTACCTTCTTCGGCGTTGCGTTCGACGGTGACCCCTTCGTGGAGTCAAGGTTCTTCGGCCGCCATGATGAGTGTTGACCCTCTACCTAATGATGATCGGGACCCTTTTCTGTTGCACCACAGTGACCGGCCGTTGCAAGGACACTTCCAAGAGATATACAACGTCGCTAGTGAGATGGCTCTAGCCAAGAATGATCCGCCATTGCTCACCCCCTTGATCTCGGCTGAAGAAGGCCGCAACGCGCTTCGACTGTACAAGGGCAAGTGCCTCAACTGCGTAGGAGAAGACAACTCCTTTAAATCCTGAAATCGTGGTTTCGTGAACGCCACCGGCTTGCTTAACAATGACATTAAGCTCTGTATGGAAAAAGAACCCACCCTTTGGGGTCGGTGGAAAAAGCGCATGACCTCGTATAGCCGCCCTACCGGACGCAACCCACATCGAAATCACCCCGTAGGACGCGCCCGCCGCTCATCTAACACATCGGACACGAAACAGTCCTCACACACAGAGCACTCGTCGGAGGCTTCCACTTCGACAACAAGGGGCTGGACGGGTAAGAAATGACAAGCCGATGGCGGAGCTCAGCCGGTACTACCGTCAACAGTAACCACCGTGCACCCTTTTGGAGTCTCCCAAGATGTTCGTGTACAGCCTATTTCTTTGGATACTCCCCACGCTCCTTAATCACATCTAGTTTTTCGGCCCGCCTCCTCGTCGTCCGCCTCATCGCCTGCTGGTAATGGACATGACAGACCCATTTCGGCAGTACCATTAGGGTGTGTGTGACAGGGAGGTAAGACGTCGAGCGGTCCATCCCGGCTCACCACGTCGTCTCCGGTTACAGAAGGAACAAGAACCTCGTCTTCTGCTATTCGTCAAGACTCTCCTGGTGATGTCAGCCGGGCCCGTTCTCGGATCGCACACGAGCCTTCTTCTACACTCGTCGGGAACCTCGTCGATCCTCCTTCTCTTTCGCAGCTTTCGTTGTCTTCGACCGTCCGCTGCCCCCGTGTGACAGCACCTGATACGAATGCGCCTTCCTCTGCTGCCCACCACGTGCTGAGTGCACCCCTGCCGTCGGGATCGGATGGTGGTGCCCACCATTCTGTGGAAGGTTCGGCTACTTTGTCAAGGGGGGGTAGTCAAGAGCGCCCTGCGTCAATGAACAAACATCCGTCTGTTGCAGGAATGACTCTCCTAACGAACGGGTCTCTTAAATCCGAATGGCCTCTGCTAACATTGACCCCGCCGGAGCCGCTGCCCTCAGGCTGCCCTCCGGATCACGGAGCGTTGCGACTTCGCCCGCTCCTGCCTCGTCTTCTGGGTCCTCCTCGTCGGAGAAGAGGACCCGTCTGCTTGGTCCACCCCCGCCTGTGCCTGGTGCCCGCTCTTTGCCCCTCCGCCGTTTGATGACAAGTGCGAGTGCGCTTCGGATGACGTCCTGCTTTTCTGGAAACCTCCGTCTGTGTTCTCGCAATGGACTCCTTCGGCGTTTGACGTACTGGGGGTACGTTATTCATGTGGTGATCAATTTATGATGTCTGAAAAAGCGATGTTGTTTGGAGATATGACGTCGTATGACAAAATTATGGCTGCAACAGTTCCTAAGACACACAAGTTTTTGGGTCGAAACGTGCGTCCTTTCGACCATGCTGAATGGGAGCGTCGTCATGAAGAGATCGTGCTTACGGGGTCGTGTGCCAAATTTGCTCAAAACCATGACATGAAACATCATCTAATGGAGACGGTTACCCGCCTCCTTGCAGAAGCCAGCCCCTTTGATCGTGTTTGGGGTATCGGCATGTCTGCATGCTTTCCAGAGACTAGCGTTTCATCAAAGTGGGCGGCTAGCGGTAAAAACTTGTTGGGAAAAGCTTTGATGGAAGTTCGACGCCTTTTTCGTGATCATCTCCTGTCTGGCGAAAATTTCCCCGCTTCCAATTCTCCCACGCCCCCCATTTCGCAGCCTCCTCTCCATGGACATCCACGCATCCATGAGGTTGCTACTGCTACAGGTTCTTCGCTACGGAAGGACCCGAGCAAAGACCCAGCTTGTCTACGTTTGGACGCTCCGGGAACCATGCTCCTGGCGTTCATCTGGTGGCATCGACCTCCGCTTGTGCAGACCAGCCTCCTCTTCTCGAACATGGGCCCGATCTGGTCGGCGGCACGCTCCTGTTGGACTCGGACTCATACACCACCCGGGTCCTGCTGCATGGAGGACCTACAGCCACTTGTCAACTCGCGCGAGTGGCGCTTCTGGACTCTGGGTCTCCTGCATCCTTCGTTTTCGACTCCGTGGTCACCGCCATGATAGCTACCGCAGCCCTGACAGCTGGCAGCATTCGTGTTTCGCCCTCTCGTCGTTGGAGTGGGTTCGGTGATTGACCCGCCCTTGTGACCACCCGGTCAATTCGTCCCACCGTTGACTATCTCCATGGAGATGAGCCTACCGCTTCCTTGGCGGTCTGGGCCTGTGTTGTTCCAGACGCCGCCACGGGGCACGCCGTGCTTCTGGGTCGTGATAGCTGGATGCGCTTCAACTCTCGCGTGTTTACCACCCTCCCCCACCCTGGACCGGACGGCCGGGTTATGGGCGAGCTCACGCTCTCTCCGCGTTTTACAGCTGGCGCTTGCGTTTACGCTACACACGACGACGACCCTGCCTCCTCGTTTGAGTAATGCTACGGTAGGGGGGTCACATTATGGAGCATGTGTGACCGACACCACAGGACTGCGTTATATAGTTGACCAGCCAGAGTACACCAATTCTGTAGGCACACTTACTTGTGTTCCCGTGTCAGTCACTGATTGATTGTAACAACAATAAGTATTGGAGAGCGTCACACAACACGGGCCCAATAGCTAATTGATTACAAAAAGCCGGTCACGAGGGGTATCCCCCCTACCCTAGCATAGCTCGTTTCACCTTTAATATGCAGGGAGATCGGGACTTTCTTTGGGGCCGGAGCTTGCACTCGTTGAGGCGGACCTCGTTCGTTCTTCTGGCATGCTTGCGCTGATTGGAGAGTATCTGGTATCGTTCAAACCCGAAGTGGGTTCGCTTTCGTCCCCAGATGCGTTCGTTTCCAATGGTCTCCAGCGTATGCCCCTTGCAGGTTGTGCCGAGCTCGAGCCGGGAGTCGTTATTGGAGTGTCTGCCGCGCCGCTACTACGAGTACCNCTAGCATAGCTCGTTTCACCTTTAATATGCAGGGAGATCGGGACTTTCTTTGGGGCCGGAGCTTGCACTCGTTGAGGCGGACCTCGTTCGTTCTTCTGGCATGCTTGCGCTGATTGGAGAGTATCTGGTATCGTTCAAACCCGAAGTGGGTTCGCTTTCGTCCCCAGATGCGTTCGTTTCCAATGGTCTCCAGCGTGTGCCCCTTGCAGGTTGTGCCGAGCTCGAGCCGGGAGTCGTTATTGGAGTGTCTGCCGCGCCGCTACTACGAGTACCGGTGGAAACCCTGAAGGCGGCACCATCTTCGATTCCTACCGGCCCGCATCATCTACATCACCACCTCGGGTCAACGCCGTTGGCCCCAAGTCCGGGACTCACCGCTCTCCGGACCCAGCCTCCGCCCCGCCTCCTCCGAAGCCGCCTCCACAAGAACTACTTGACCGCTTCTCTGAGGCACAGCGCTCCAGCTTCATGCCCTTGTGGGCTAGGCTGCCCGCACATATGCACGACATTTCTTTCGATCTACACAATCCGGGATGGACACCGGAGGCTATTGATCGCTTGGCCGACGCACTTGTGGAGTATTCTGACGTGTTCTCTACTTCGGAAGCCGATTTTGGTTCTTGCACCATCATGCCTTTGACGCTTTCTGTCTCAGCAGGGACGAAGCCCGTTGCATCACGCCCGTACCGTATCACCCGTTGATGCAAAAGAAAGTGGATGCCGTTTTGGACCAGTATTTGGCGNTATCACCCGTTGATGCAAAAGAAAGTGGACGCCGTTTTGGACCAGTATTTGGCGGCAGGGCTCATTCAACGTTCCACATCTCCTTGGGCTTCTCCTTTAGTTGTCATCCCCAAGAAGGACGGTCTGTTCGCATCACCGTCAACTACAAACGTCTCAACGCTCTGGTGGATTGGGATGGACAACCTCTCCCTCGAGTGGACGGTATCTTGGATTCTCTGTACACCGGGAAAGTGTTCTCCATCTTCGACCTCAACTCGGCTTTCCACCAGATCGTTTGTGATGAAGACACTGTCCCGCTCACCGCCTTTTGCACTCCCACGCAGTTGTTCGAATGGCTTCGGATGCCGCAGGGCGCCAACGCAAGTCCGTCTTGGTTCGTCAAGGTCATCAAAAGAGTGGTGCACGGTCTGGAGCGTGTGCTTGCTTATCTGGACGATGTCATCTGTTTCGATGAGGAACCTCTGGGACACGTGCTGAGCTTGATCGAGTTCTCCAAACGACTGCGACAGTACAACCTCAAACTGTCTCCAGGGAAGGCTCGCGTCGGCGCCACGCACGCCAACTTTCTCGGTCACACCATCTCTCTGCCAGGTGTTGGCCCTGATGGCGTTGAGGTTAGGGCGCTCACCCACATGCCGCCGCCGACGAATGTTCACCCTTTTGGGTCTACAGGCCTTCTGAAAGATCATTGCTTGATCATTTTTTCCATATTATTTTTTCTGATAGCGCCGAATAGACGGTCTAGTCGTATAGGGGAGGATACCACAGAAACCCCGAACCATATGCAAAGGAGTTGTAGAGCACACCAGGATAGAGCGCGCCCGCCCCACCAACACATACCTGCAAACACACGGAGCATCCACCAGAGGTGCGCCGAGAGGTCATGAGGAGGCCTCCACGCCCCGCGTGGTCTGCCCTGTCTATCGGGGCGGCGTTGTTGGTAGCGCTTGCGGTAGCGCTGCCGGCAGCGCCAGTTGCCATTCTTGCTCGTACATCGGCTTTGGCCGTCTCTCTCCGGCCGCCACCCACACTTGCTGTGAACGCGGCGACTGAGGACAGCGAGCTTGGCATGGAGGACAGCGGATATGCAATCGACCCAAGCGTGCCGACTGATGATGAGGATGACTGTGAGTTTGATATGGGCGCATCGTACAAACCGATATATGCTGCGAACTCGGACAAAGCTGGTCACAATACCCGGGGAGCAGCTCGGCAGCTACGACAACAACAACAGGCGCCGGCATCACCGGTCACACCGTCGCTCCGGACGACTTTGCTCGGAACGTAGCAGCGGCAGCGGAAACAGCGGCAGCAGCAGCAACCATCTCCGCCGGAGCGCTTGGATATAGGAAGTGTACCGAACTCGCATGATGCTGGTCACAACACCCGCAGTGTAGGTGGGTAACAGCGGCCACAACAGGGGACCCCGGAGCTACCGGTCACGGACCGGCTCCCTACGACCTCGTGTGAGGCGCAACAGCAGCAGCAGCAGCAGCAGCAACATCCCCACCAGATTCTTCTCCGGCGAATCCGGCTGTATGTGTCGCTTTCACTTACCGCGGCGCACGACGTGGCGAAAAGTGCGGCAACAAGATCGAAGGTAGGACGGTAGGTGTTTTCAAGCATCATGACGGCCTACAGAAGCGCCGAAAGACGGCGTCAGGTGCAGCTCTTGGAGTGGGGGGCAGCGTCGAGGCAGGCAACTATTACTCGGAGTCGGAGTTGGGTGGTGGTATGGACGAATTGCATACTCCTGGCGCGCGTCCTTTCATAGCGAAGTCCAAGGAACTGCACTACGCGCAGGCCTCCAAGATCGAGGAGGAGGGCTTCCGGAGAGCGCAGGAGAGTGTGTGGCACCTCAAGCGGATCAAGCTCCCAAAACCAAAGGTGCGCAACATATGTAGTGCTTAGCCTACCTTTTAGCGCTGGCGTGCTTTCCCTTACAACGTATCCCTTCGAGGTAAAACACCATGAACTACACAACGGTGCGCTTTCATTTCCTTCGATAACCTACACCAGTGTACACACGTTATTTTTGTATTCTTCCTCTTTGAGCAGCATCGACCGCACTACTGCTGTAGACGCATGACTAATGCCAAATGCGTGTGTCGCTCATTGCGGTAGGCGATACTGCGATAAGTTTGTACCATTTTGCCGTGTGTTGTTCGGTACTATTGTGCAGCCTATTTATATTTCAAGTGTATTATTGGGTTGCCCTCTAATTGTACCTGGTGTTTGTTGTTGGTCTTTTCCAGGCTGGTGAACCACCCCCCCGTCCCATTCCGGACGATCCGAAGGGGTGGGTGCTCGAGGGACTACCCCGTGCGAAGTCATCCGACCCGTACAAGAGGCGGCACGAACACCCCGGCGGCGACAAGTTCAGCCTATCGGACCAGCTGAAGGCGAGTCTACTGAAGGTCGACAAACAAGGGTTAGCCGTTTTGCGTTCTTTCGTCAACGGGAAGGGTCGGGGTCTCCCCTTCATGTTCTTTGAGAAGACTTTCCCGACGGAGGCACAGGACGTCGTCCTGAGGGAGGTGAGAAAAACGAAGGTCGCGTTTTGTGTCTTTCAGCAATATTTTGCGAGTTAGGGCATGCCCCCCCCCCCCCCAAACAACCAAGAGAGTGGTGTTCCGAGTGGTGGCATGGTTTTCATGCCAACAGCGGCAGGAGCACCAGTACAACGGCCACCATGCGCACAATAGCATGAAGCGCAGACTGTACATAGCTGGCGGACCGTTGTCCACGGTGCATGTTTCACCTCGAATTGTTTGTTAGGGTCAGGTGTTTATCGTTACATATTAAGACGTGCAGGCTTGCTTGGACGGCCGGGGGTAAGGGGGGGGCATTAGTGCAACGCGATGGAGTCAGGATCCAGCATGTATCAGAGTCGACAAATGAACACATGCATTAGGCGAAAGGAGGGCAGCGACATCGCGTGAAAGTAGTTCTAGCGTCGTGCTTGACGCCAAAAACAATTACCACCATCAACGATATTCTGAATCACACCTTGCGCACTACACGGAACTTGTACGAGCCATGAAAGCCTTCATGGGCACCTGAAACCAGGGGCTGTGTTTATCAAGCAACTTCGACGGTGCGCACCACCAACTATCTTGAAGATTATTCGGCACCCTTGCGCCAGGCGAGCTCACTCTTTTGTTGTGCCAATTTTTTTTTATAAATCCCTCTCGTGTCCCGCCCCTTCACGCCTTTTTTTTATATCCCGCCCCTTCTCGCCCTCTTATTAGACGAACCGGTACGTCAACTTCTGCGCCGACGAGTCTGACCCGCGCCTGGAACACCAGGAACCTCGACATCGGGCGAAGAAGGTGACGCGGAGATNATTTTTTATAAATCCCTCTTGTGTCCCGCCCCTTCACGCCTTTATTTTATATCCCGCCCCTTCTCGCCCTCTTATCAGACGAACCGGTACGTCAACTTCTGCGCCGACGAGTCTGACCCGCCCCTGGAACACCAGGAACCTCGACATCGGGCGAAGAAGGTGACGCGGAGATTTGAGACGGTGCCGTACACGGATCTGGCCGATGGATCTCGAGAGTACGCCTTCGAGCGCAAGCACCTGTCTGTACGGCGTGATGGATATCCTCATCACCGCGGGAATCACCCAGAAGCGGCGGATCACCGACCACTGGCGGGTGGAACTCCATGATAACTACCCCCTGGTCCGGGCTTGCATGCCTCGAGACCTGGTTGTCCTGTTCTACGGCCGCTTCTTCCACTTGGCCCCGGCCACCGGCAAGCCCAACAAGACTGATCCTCAATACGACTGCAAACACCACATCAGGTATGCCCCATGACGGGTATGTTGTTATTTTCCTCGGACGTGTTGCCTGTTCCGCCCTTCAGAATGATGGCCTAAGATACTGCTGAGTATGGCCTGAGTGAAAACGAACCGCTCTGACCCGCGGGCGGCTGCTTTGGAATACAGAATGTGTCGTCGTCGAAGTGCGAAGCACCCAGATCGACACCTGCCAAAAAATACGTTTAGGTTACGTGACCGGTTGTGCAACGTTGATTGGGGAAGGAAAACGTATGTCGTGCGGCCCCTCGGCCCAAACTATATAGTAAACTGCGATATCGAGCCTCAACGCTTGCAACACCGCTCTAGGTGCGAACCCCCCCTCTATGTAGGTCCGCCGATGCTGCGTTTCGACGGTTTTGTGTTTGCCGACAAACAAGTGCGCCTTCTGTGATAAAAAAAATCAACCGTCGAATATGATTGAAATAAATATTTGCTACTCTCGGCAGGGAGCTCGAGGACGTGTTGAACAAGTGCTGGAGCGNTTCTGTGATAAAAAAAAATCAACCGTCGAATATGATTGAAATAAATATTTGCTACTCTCGGCAGGGAGCTCGAGGACGTGCTGAACAAGTGCTGGAGCGAGCTTGTGGACCCCGGGGCATGGCTATCGTACGACGAGCAGATGGTGAAAAGCACGGCGAGAGTGATNAACAAGTGCGCCTTCTGTGATAAAAAAAATCAACCGTCGAATATGATTGAAATAAATATTTGCTACTCTCGGCAGGGAGCTCGAGGACGTGTTGAACAAGTGCTGGAGCGAGCTTGTGGACCCCGGCGCATGGCTATCGTACGACGAGCAGATGGTGAAAAGCACGGCGAGAGTGATGTTTGCGCTGATGAGGTTCAACAAGTCGAAGCCTATCAAGCTCGGTGAGGTGGAAAGTGAATACCCGAGTAGATCCGGGAGGTCGGGTGGGGAGGGGAGTGTACTCACTCATAGTCTTGCACGCAGTAGTCGTTAGACCATTGACCTCGCATCCCTGCAAAGCCGGGACGGAGCACGCCGGGTTCTCACCGGACCAGGCTCTCACATCACCAAGCGCGAAGCGCCGTGAGGTATTCGGCGAGTCGCATGAAGGGTGCGCTGCATCCTGCTAAGGGTGTT